GGGTGCCGCACAACTGTGGGGTCCCGTGATGGGAACGATGGAGAGAGCCGGGGCGTAGTATAGGCGCCAAAGGTGACGCATCTCGCATTGTGCTCTCTTGTTCCTACGGCTTTTAGAGGCTAGAGAGGCCCGCCATTATTGGTCCGCCACGCGCCCCTACGCCCTATAGTGACCGATCTTCATGCTCAAACAAACGCATGTCAGAGAAGCCTGTGCATGCGCTGGTCCTCTTTGATGTTTGAACGGTCCGCGCGTGAGGTAGCATAGGGCCTTTTGTTCTGGGCGGCCCAGTCTGGGGGGGGCAGCAGCACAGCTTCGCTTGAGATGTTGGTTGTTGCGCTGCGGTTGGTTGCGATGAGCTGATTGGGATCGCAGAAGTGCATGCCAAGCACCGCCTCAAAGCTCAATCTTGAAGCAGAACACATCGCAACCGCATCGTCCGCACTGCCATCGGCATGCCGCGCCCGCCGCTTCGCTGCACCTGCAGCCGCCTGCGACGGTGTATCATTCACTGTATGCCACCGTTGCATATCCGGCTATGCAACGGTGGCATAAACTCAATGATCCACCGTCGCAAAACTGCAGGATATGCAACGGTGGCATAAAGTGAATGATACACCGTCGCACCGCCTTAAGACACGCGCATAGCGGCAGCACATGGATCATGGTACGGTGCGGGTACTTGAGCAGGCGTTTGCGCGCCGCACAAGTAGCGCACTGGCCCTGGGAGGAAGCGATATGGCGTCGTGCACGGCATACGTTGGTCGGGACGCGTCAAGGTATTTAAACAAGACAACTCTCTCTCACAAGGTATTTTTTCGGGTAAACCTGGACTTTTGCAGGTATACCCGGGTTTTTTGATTGTACGTACTTATAGCTTACTGGGAGAAAAGAGAGAGGGGGTTGTGTTCTCTAGGCCCCTAAGGGCCCTACGCGCGGCGTGAGAGCTCGGAAGCGAGCTTTGCACGGCGATCGAGGATGGCACGGTTCACCCCCTTCACCGAAGCGATGGAGATCTCTCTGATTGTATGTAGCTCTTACGAACATACCCGTAGGTGTGTTTTTTACCCGGAGTTGGCCTTGTGTCGTCTAACGGTTCATGGCCCCCGACCACAAAGCGTCTAAGTACTAAGGTAAGGTAAGGTAAGGTAAACGTCTCCACACACACAAAGTGGTGGGGCAAGGGGGGGCGACCCTCGCATCTCCACGCCCGGGACACGAGCAGGAGCCCCCCGGTACTAAGGTCTCCCGCCGCCTACGACTTTAAGCGCGCTGAGGCCTGAGCCCGGCTCCGTGTGCGGGGGCTAAGTTGAGCGCTCGCTCGCTGCAGAGGCTAAGTGTAGAGCGACCCTCTCTGCCCTACGACCCAACCATTGTCAAACAAGGCTTTACGTAAACCTCAAGAAAACAAAGCGGGCTCAAACCAAAGTTCCACAAAGTAACACGACATGCCGATCTCACTGACACTGTCTCGCTGTAGTATACGCGCGTATACGCGGGGCTACCGCGCAACGGCTCTGGTACACAGCCGCTAGCTACCTTACATGGTCACCACATGCCGTGCGACTGTGTCATCGAGCGGCGTGATGTCGGTTCGCTCAGATGACCTTGAGCTTTACGAGCTCAGTGGCGATACCGTCGAGCAACCTCACGTCGTCGACATTGTAGGGGCGCGCCGTGACCGGGGTGGCCGGGTCCGTCGCCGCGCCCCCTCTGCTCTTGGCGAGCGTGGGCGCGAACGCAGCGCGGAGGTCTTCAGGCGTGCCCTCGCGCGCGTCAAAGTGCGACGGCGCAATCATCCGGAAGTCCCAGCGCGCGAGGTCGTCGACCCAGCGCGCGAGCTCGGGCTGGACGCGGTCGCTCGCGTAGATGAGCGAGTCGGTGACGGGCGCCACCACCCACCGCCCCTCGAGCGCCTGGAAGGACGGCTTCGGATCGACGATCGTTGCTGGCGACGGCCCAAAGAAGAGCGAGAGGACGACGTTGCGCTCCCAGCCGCGCTGCAACTGCTCCGCCTCGCTCCCCTGCCGCCCCGGCGCGTCGCTCGTCCAGAGCTGGCCGATGTCCTTCGAGCCCGTGCCCTGCCAG